TCGGGCTACTCATTATCTGCACTGCCGTCAATTTGTGTTGTCTACTCTACAGAGTAGATGTTGGATTCGGGAGCTACATACCATATTTTCCCTAGAAGGGATTGGTTCTCCAGCTTTCAGTAGTTGGAAAGAGGGGATTTCGTGCTCATGGGGAATGATCACAAATGCTCTATTGGTGGTATCGGTACCATTCGGATCAGGATGAGTGACGGGGTGATTCGGGAGTTGGTTGGAGTGAGGTTCATTCCTCAGTTGAAGAAGAACATCATTTCACTTGGAGCTTTGGAGGCAGCAGGCTATAGGGTGACCTTGGCGGATGCACGCTTGAAGGTTACATTTGGGTCCATGATTGTGATGAAGGGTGTCAGAAGGAGCAATTTGTACTATTTGCTTGGGAGCATGGTGATTGATATGGAGATGACGACTTCATCAGATTCGGCTAGACTGTGGCATTGTTTGGTGCTGGGGTATATGATTGGTAATGCCGTGCATTGGTTGTTGAGGAGTGCTATGACCTGCAGATTGAAGTCCTGTGAGCATATTGGGATGAGCAAGACCGTGGTGGAGTTTGGCATTCCTATCCATCGAGCGAGGGGTCTTTTAGGAGGTGTTCAGTCAGGCATTTGGGGGCCTTCCAAGGAGGCATCATTGGGAGGTAATCGTATCTTAGTTTCCGCAGTTGATGATTGTTCTAGGTATTATTGGGTCGCGAACAGTTCCCGTTGGTGTAAAGTCCTAGAAGTCAACAATAATTGGAAGAAGTGTATTGGCAGAAAGGTAAATCATTGTTCTAGATTAGGTAGGGGTCCTTTCTTGCGTTTGTGTCAAGCTCACGGCAATAGGAGACACTTCATTGGTGTGGAGACTTTGAGGCGACGAGATGAGATGACAGTTTCGATGAGTCGTTCCTTTCTGGAGGAGGATCGGCGTTGGTTGTCGAGCATTGGTTCTGGAGCTTCGACATATTTGGGTCATCTTAGTCACAGGTCGCCGACTACTGCATTAGGAGTTATTGGATCTGGTGGAGCTGCTTCAGATTTTGGGTTGCTTCGGATATTTGGATACCCAGCATTTGGTCACATCGAGGATGTAAGATTTGATCTGATTGTACGTTTGGGGTTCGGAGGCTCAGTTGATTATCGTTTGGGAGCTTCTGATTTTGTTCTGAGCAGGTATGTCACTTTTGACTCTCGGCAGGTGGAGAGTGTTGATCAGGTCGTTTGGATATCACAGCAGGTGGAGAGTGATGTTACTCCACGTTAGGTGGAGATTACTCCACATACTCCAGATCATACTGCGTCATTTGGGATTCTAGCTGAGGTGACACAGGTTGGGGATCATTTGATTTCGGATGCAGATGATGGATTGGTTTTGGATTCGGTTGCAGCTGGTGGACATGATTTGGATACGGCCATTGGTTCACCTCATATGGAGGTGTTTGATTTGTATCAGTTTGGGGCCGCTATCAGTTGTAGATCCGTTGGCGATATTAGGGAAGAGTTCCATACTTTTCTATTTGTTTGAGGGTCTTTGGAGGTCGTTTGGGTGAACTACGTGAATGCTTGATTCCTTGGGCAAGAGGATATCGACATTTGGGGTGAGTGTTCGCACTCCCATTTGGGTCTCAACATGTGAGGCATTTGTTTGGTTGGTGTCGGCTCAGTTTGGGAAAACTTCACCGAGGTGGAGAATTGTGGAGAAGAACTTGAAAAAAACAGATTTTTGGTCATAAGTCGACTCATGCACAGGCATAAGTCGACTTATGGTAAGTCGACTTATGTTTGTGTCGTAAGTCGACTTACGATCTGCTGTGGATTGTTGATTTTGGGCTCTGGCAAGTCGACTTATCAGACCTGTTAAGTCGACTTATGAACTCTTCTCCAGTTGTCGTTTTTCGCTCTGCCAAGTCGACTTATGCAGACTGATAAGTCGACTTACGACGGGTTTTTTGGAAAGTTCAGGTTCCTATTTGCAGTCTGTTTGGGTTTTTGTTTTGGTATAAATACTAATACGATTTGAGGGTTTTGAATGAGCATATTTGGGGATTTTGGAGCACAGAAAAGAGAGATCTTTCTGAGCTATTGGTTAGGGTTATTGGTTGAGAGATTGAGAGATTTGTTGGTGAGATTAGTTGGTTCGTTTGAGCGATTTGTAATCTCAATTTGTACTCTCCTTCTCTATTAGTGAAAACTCAACCCCTTCTTGCCCCGTGGACGTAGGCAATTGCCGAACCACGTTAAAATTGGTGTTTGGGTTTGTGCATTGATATTTGGTTGTTTTTGGCCTTCTTTGATCGGCGTTTGTTTTGGTTCCTCGGCGCCGCCGTCTGTTCACTACAGGAAGATGTGATTGATGATTATACTTAGAATGCATCATAAACTTTGTGTGTATAAATGGACCTCTTTGATAGCTGCATTGTCAAACAATAAAGGAAATAACCAAATTTGCCAACTTCAGGGCACAGGAGAAAGGCTACTAGTCATATTCACGATACCAGAATTCTGAAATCGTGGTGGGGCTTGAAATTACAATTTGCACTCAAACATGTTCCTCGAGATTGAGCGTGCTATGGATCGAAATCTTGGTTCGTGCAATGAAATCTTTTCTAGTTTTCTTTAAACACACGGCTGATAGGATTCGTAATCTAGGTTGCCCTGATACCATCTTAAGATCTCTTCCATTATATCAGAACTCCGAAGTCGTGGTGGACCTTGAGCATTGTAATCCATCGTTCTTACCGACGACTCTTCAACGTAACACATCTCTCAGTCCGTCTGTAGAAAGGGTCACATCCCCATCTAGGATCGGAGAATTTGGGCTTCTTGTTACTTGAAAAGAGTAGTTTGATTGCACAAATATCTCAACTCAAAAAGAGATTTCAAAAGTAAAATATAATGGTCTTTGAGATGGATGGCTTTTCTTCTGGCCGCATGAAAGGACAATGGAAACATCTTCATCATGATCATTACCGTTGCAATCTGTAAACTTTGATGCGGGGTTATGAATGAATAAATGGTCTCGGACTAGGCGATAGAAAAGGCAAGGGAGAGCATAAATCAAGCAAATATTAATTGA